AAAATACTATTAGGGCATTTGATTCCTAATTGTACCTAATTCAAAAATATATGTAGTAGCAATCAATGGCTTTCAAAGTGCGATCGCTAGGCGTAGGAGTGATCCGATAGGAGTGATTCTCATGTCATTGTGTAGGTTAGATCTTTCTGCATATTAGTATTCTACGATTACGGGGTTGGTAATAAGGAGTTTATTCGAAAATAACTCAGTGATATCAAAATGGTTCCTGGGTTTGTGGCGACGTCTCTTTGTATCCCCTTTACTGATTTACATAATATTTTGCAAATTCAATAAAATTCTTGTTTTACCTGCACTTAGTTAAGCCTTAAGCGAATGTTATACTTATTTAAAAAAACTTAATTTTCCTCTTTCAACTGATTTCATATTGGCACTTATTTTCTTCCTAAACTAGGGTATACAATTATAGTTAAAATGTAATGAAATTGTAATGAAAATTCCTTTTCCTTTTAATTAGTTTTAAGTTTTATTTTTTTTTGTTTTTGATTGCTTCTCGAGACATCATAATATGTGGCACCCAGCCAAGTATGCACATAATTTACTGCCTACCGTGAGTCCACCTAAAGCTATGGTTTGTTAGAGCTGTAGGCGACGCAAAGCAGACAGTAAGTTTTGCGCGTCCGACTTACGTTGGAATCTAGGAATCTTGGAAGAAGATGCGTAGCTGGTTTGTTAGACTCTGCTTAGGTGGACTCACGGTAGGCAGAAAATTATGTGCGTCGTCGGTTCAGTCGAAATCAAATTCGATTTGATTTCAACGCAGTCGTTCAGTTGAGCTCACAGCGTACAGTACTAAAAAAGCGTTTATTTTTAACGAATTTTAAAATGGCAACCAAGTTTTCACCAGAGGAAGACGAGAAATTAATCGACCTCGTACGAGAACATCCCCATTGTATACCGTGCCTTCCAAACGTCCGTTAGAAAACATTCGATCTTCACTTTTATTTTGACGACGACAATTAATTAAATTTAAAAGACCTTTTTTCATGTTCTTTCTCAATAAATATTGTCAGCAAAAAATGTTCAGCCATTATCATGAAAAAAAAAAAAAAAATGCCGAAATAATAATATTTTCGTCTGCACTTATCAGCATACAATCACGAGCACTAAATCTAACAAAACACCCCCCTTCAAAACCGATAAAGTTACGCTACAGATTCTGCTAACTGCGTATGTCGTCTGCGACGCACAGCTCTAGCAAACCAAAGCTATAAGCTATATTTTGTGCGTCGTCAGTTCAGTCGAAATCAAATTTGATTTGATTTCAACGCAGTCGTTCAGTTGAGCTCACAGCGTACTGAGGTAAAAAGCGTTTATTTTTTAACGAATATTAAAATGGCAACCAAGTTTTCACCAGAGGAAGACGAGAAATTAATCGATCTCGTACGAGAACATCCCCCATTGTATACCGTTCCTTCCAAAGGTCTGTTAGAAAACACTGATCTTCAGGTTTATTTTGACGACAACTAATTAAATTCAAAAGAAGATCTTTTTCATGTTCTTCTTCCTCAATAAGTATTGTCACCAAAAAATGTTCAGCCATTGTCATGATAAAAATAAATTTTGCCACAGTAATAATAAATATTTTCGTCTGCATTTACCAGCATACAATAAGAAGTACTAAATCTAACAAAACACTCTCCCTTCAAAACAGTTCCAACAAACCAAAGCTTAAGTGGTCGTTCAACTACCTCAAATTTAGTTGAGAAAACCCAACTTATTGCTGAAGCTTTGGATGCAGGAAGTCAGGTTTATGTTGTGTACACCGATTTTTCTAAAGCTTTCGATCGGCTTGATCATAATTTATTAACATTGAAATTGGATTCATATGGGCTCCCCTGCTATGCTGTCTCTGTTTAAATATTATTTTAGTAATACATACCAATTTGTGCAGTATCGTGGCTTTCAGTCATGTAAATTCCATCAATGTTCAGGAATCAACTGAATGCCTCGATGTCAACTATTTATGCGGACGACCTTAAGTTGTTCTTGGAAGTTAAACCGTCTGTTGATTTTTCCCGATTACAAGATAACCTTGACAGATTACACAGTTAGTGTTGATGTAATATATACATCAACCTACCTCTGATCTACCTCTCGACCTCTGACCTGACCGACCTCTCTAATCTACCTCTGAGTGTAAGCAAATGTAAAATTATGTCTTACAGTCGACGTAAAACTAATCTAGATTTTGATTATAAAATAGGTGAATCTTTTCTAAATAGAGGTTTGTAATTTACTGACCTTGGTGTTATATTTGATTCTAGATTATCGTTTGACGAGCATATTAGTTTAGTAACCAAATCTGATTTTAAAAATTTGGGGTTCATTTTACGTAATTCTGGGGACTTTCAGAACGTAAAGGTTCTCTCGTATATTCTATGCATTTTAGTGTTTATTATATTCAATTAGAGAAAGTACAACGGAGACTATGCATTTTATTCTTTCTCGTGGTACACCTCAAGAATTACTGTTTTTATATGTTTTCAATTATATTCCTTTTTAAAATTATAAATAATACTTTAAATGCAAACTCGTTAGTTTCAAGGATTTTGTATCATGTTCCTAGACTTACATAATTCTAGATTTCACTCTGTTTTACAGTTACCCACACATCGAACAAATTTACAAATATACTATAATATATCAACTGATTTCCAATTATTATTAAATGTATGAAGATCGTCTTGATATATTTTTTCATTCTATGAATACCTAACATAAAAAAAATTGTTTGTCTAGCAAATGTTATCCTTATCTTGTAGGTAAGTATATGTTAGTTAGCTTATTTCTTTTATTTGTTATTATTTATACTTCAGTTTTTTGTCTGTATTTTATATTTGGTTACTTTATTCTGTGTAGTACTTATATTTTCATATTTAATATTAGATGTCTTTTTTTGAGGTTGAGGTGATTTGAGGTTTTCTTTTTCCACCTTATCCTGTAATTGGGAATTTGTCCTATTGGATATAGGCTATTAATTAAAGGGTTTTAAAAGCAACTATGATGTTCAAGATATTTTATTACATGAATCGTTCAAATGGTCGTTTTAGATGAAAAAACTTCGGAGTGCTATTAAATTAGAGGGTGGAAATTGGAGATAGGGGTGAAAATGCACCCCTGTTAGTTTTTTAATGGTAGCTCGAAAACGAAACAAAATTTCGCTGTAGTTCATAGGAAAAATTATTTAGAGAATTGAATTTTCCATCGAAATAGCGTATTTAAAAAATTTTAAAGGAAAATTTTATGCAAAAAATCGTTAATAAACCATTTGAAAAAAAGCAAAAAATTCGATTTTTCGATTTTTTTTTACTTTTTTGTCTCTAGTTTTTTTTTTTGAGTGAAGATAGGTATTGCTTCATAAAAAATAAGTAGATAAAAGTTCCTTAAAAAAAGAGGTTGTATAGTATTTTTGGATGAAAATTAACTGATATATGGCCGCTCAAACTTAGCCAAATTTTCGATTTTCGTCGCGTTCACCCTTATACGTTTTAATTTTTATTTTTTGCAAAAAAGGAAGGATATCATACGTTTAAGGATTTTCATCACATGACTTGTTCAAAGGGTCATTAAAAATGAAATAACCGTGAGGTGCTATTAATGGGTTGAAATTGAAGATAGGGGTGAAAATGCACTTTTACAGTTTTTTAAATATAGCGCGAAAACGAAGCATAATTTCGATATAGTTCATAGGAAAAATGTTGTAGATAATTGAATTTCCCATCAAAATGGCTTATTTAAAAAAAAATTAAAGACAAATTTTTTGCAAAAAATCGTTAATAAACAATTTAAAAAAGAAAAAAATTATATTTCTTTATTTTTTTTAATTTTTTGAATGTATTTTTTTTTCGTAGAAGTAGGCAAAGAGAATTGCTTTACAAAAAAACTAGAAGAAATTCCCTTCAAAATGATGCGTTTTCAAAGGTTATTGGACTACTAATATTGACTGAGTTTAACCGGTCAAATTTAAATATTTTTTAGATTTTCATCGTTTTTAACACAATAATGATTATAATTCTTATTATTTTTTAAACGAATTGGTTCTTTACTTAATAAAAAATTATTTCAAAAGTTTTATTTGTTAATAATAAATAAAGATTTTCACAACTGTATGAAAATATGAGGGTTTTTTCAAATAAAATTACAGTTAATCATATTATTATTACTTATCTGGAATATGGAGATGTTTCTTTTTTTTACAATCAAATAATTAATAAATCTTCTTATTTGAGATAGTAAAAAAGAAATATAGTATGATACCTATCTTTACTCAAAAAAAACTAACGGCAAAAAAGAATCGATTTCTTTGCTTTTTATCAAATTGTTTATTAACGATTTTTTGCATAAAATTTTCCTTTTAAATTTTGTAAATAAGCCATTTCGATGGGAAATTCAATTCTCTAAATAATTTTTCCTATGAACTATAGCGAAATTTTGATTCATTTTCGAGTTACAATTAAAAAACTGAAAGTGGTGCATTTTCACCCTTATCTCCAATTTCCACCTTCTAATTTAATAGCACTCCGCGGTTTTTCATCTAAAATGACCCTTTGAACGATTCATCCAATAAAATTTCTTGAACGTCATAGTTCCTTTTAACCCTGTTTTTTTTATATAATCAATAGCCTAATATTGTAATTTCTAAAAATAAATCTTTATTATAATATATGTCTGTTGTGAAGATCAACCTAATATATTATATAATAAATCAACTAGAGCAGATGCAATACATCCAAATGTAAAGCTTAGCTTTAAATGTACCTTTGAAAAAACAGTACCAGAGGCGGCGTAAACTTAAATTAGTTAAAATCTACACCAAAGGGGTTTTTTGAAAGCGGCATCTGCCAATTTGTGGAGGCATGGGAAAAAATCTATTATTTGATGATTTTGAATTATGTGACAAGTATATTTAAATGATAAATAGAATTCTTACAAAATTCGATACATATGTTTCTGACAAATATTATTATGTACATTTCCAGACTCTTTACCAAGATGGTTTCTTTATCACTTTCTTCGCACCACCTAATTTGGAGCCCATAGCTAAACATATAGTTTTTGTATTGGATACCAGCGGCAGCATGAGTGGTACAAAAATTATTCAGTTGAAAGAAGCAATGATGAATATATTACCAAAACTGCATCCAGAAGATCTGTTCAGTATTGTTCAGTACGAAAATTCAGTACATTTATGGGATTTAAACTTGATATCTTATGATGTGATCCCTGCGTATCCCACTTATGGAAGTTTAGCAAGCCAGCTGCAGGTATGGATGGCTAATTGATACAAACATTATGAAAATTTAAAAAGTATGATAGGACGAAATTATTCATGAAATAGTAAAAAATATATAGGCCAACAAAATTGGGAAATTTTGGAATTCATAAGTCAAGAGTCAACAGACAGTATATGTTATATAATAAAAATAAATTAATTCCAACAAATGGTTCACAAATCATTTATACATATCTGTAAAAATATGAAAACTCAATACTAACAGATACATAATTTTTTTTCAGTTAAGGTTTTTTTTCAAATTCCCCAATTCTAAAGTCCTAAGGAAACTAAATGATCCTAAATAATCAACATTTATTACTAAACTTAGACTACTTTGTTTTTGCACTTTTTTTCTTATCCATTTGAGATGATTTCGATATGAGCCTTTTTAATGATTCTTAATTTTTTTTGCCAACAAGGGCCCACCTCTAAAGCTCCAGAATGTCAATGATTATGTTTCCATAGGTGTAGTTTGTTTCCAGGTAGTACACTGCCGGCCCATTGAAAGTGGACGATTTATTTTTCTAATGTGATGTGGTCTACTTCTTATTATGACAAGTTTTTATATGTCCGTGTCATTAGTAATTTGCTTGGTAATTCAAGTTACCGCGTTTAACGGAACCAGAGAAAGTGAGAGCTATAACTTTACTTCAGAATGATTGGTCATTGTGGATGATCTGCATGTATGCAAGAACAGCATATTTAAACTCAAAGAAAAATGGATTGCGGAGGGTCACGTACGTTATGTTCACGGAGTTGGGCGTCGAAAAGTAAGCACCACCTAAGAATAAATCCTTTTGACATGGCAGTAGCGGCTTCCTTTGAGACGAATTTTCCTGGATCAGTGCGAACTACAAGGAAGCGGGTGAAAGATTCAGAGCTGAAGAATTATGTGGCCGCAAATACAGTTGCTTTGACTCCCCAGTATAAAGAACAGAGGTTAGAGTTTGCAAGACAATTTGTAGGAAGCCCAGACAACTTCTGGGAGAATATTATATTTTCGGACGAAAAGCTCCGATGCTTCTGTCCTTGTCTACCTACCAGAGATTATAAGGTATTGGGAGCCTTATGTGAAACCCACACAGCGCAGCGATGGCTTCTCCATTAACGCTTGGGCTTGGATAAGCTGCCAAAGTCCTGATGTTTGTTGTGACTATGTTGTATCCTCAGAATTTCACTTTCAAGGAGGATAATTGTCGTCAGAATGGTTAATTGATAACAACATCAGTGTTTTACTTTGGCCCTCAAAGTCCTGGGGATATACCTGTATCGTGAAAAAAATTTACGACAGAAACTTCCGTCCAGTTAACGTCGAAGAACTTTGGGAGGCAATTGATAACGCATGGGATAACATCACTGAGGATTATAACAAGAACATTAATTTTATCAATGCCATGGTAGATTGCAGTGTTATAGACAAAAATGGTGCTTGGACAAAATACTAACTTTACGAATCGCGTTTTTCTGATGATGACGAAAAGTGTTTCATTTTTATATCTCGTTGACGGCGAATTAATGGCCGTTAGAGTGTATAATATATTTCAGTATTGGAAAAATAAATAATTTGCTACCTAATTTGGATTTGTTTTGGTCACTAGAATTAGTATGATAGTGACATATTAAATTTGACATAATGACAGCCGATTTGAACCTCACATTTTCAAGTCAGCTTCACAAAGGCCAATTATAGACAATTTGCTTATAAGAATCGTCCACTTTCAAAGGGCCGGCACTGTACCTACCAAATTAGAAGAAATTCACTTAACTGATAAAAACTTTTGCTGTGTTAATTAAAAAAAATTAACTGTATTACAATTTTGTTACAATTAAGTTTTCGTTAAGTATCATAGGAAATTATACACACTTTATTTTTATAACACACTCGTCATACTTTTTGTATAATTGTATAAACCTTCATTCATAGTTATTATTATACATTTCAGCAAAGTGTTATCCCGGAAGCAATCTTAGCGACACCACAGAACATTGAAATAGCAAAGCATATTGTTAACGGTTTTATTGCTGACGGCGGTACGAATGCCATTGGGGGCTTGGAAGTAGGGCTCTACCTAATAAAACTAGTACAAGAACAACACCAGAGTCGTCATTATGAACCTATTTTGGTATTCCTGACAGACGGACTGCCAAACACTGGTATTTCAGACCCTTCGCAAATAATCTCTTTGGTAAATAAAACTGTTGTTAATTAAAACGTTTTTAATGAAAAATTATAAAGGATGTCCTAAAAGAAACGCAGGATTTCATATGAGGAAATAATATTTCATTAATTAAAAAGATTTTACATGTTTTAAAGGGTAGACTTTGCTATTAAACATGAAAGAGGATAACGGATAGATGTCTTCCGCGACTCATTTGGCATACTCGACTTCTTTTAACAAAATTCTGTTTCACACTTTCGCATTTTTTTGCCTTTCATTCAGGAATGGTATTCATTTGAGCAGAATAAACTTTAAGAATGCTTACAGGAAAATGTCGCATGGCGTAATGATCTTGGTGGCCAAGTCACTTGGATGTTACGTGAACCTGCTGGAACCACATGTCATCCAAATCCATGCCATCCAAGGGAGCCCACAAAAAATTCAACGGTATATCTCAATTTCGTTCTCCATTGACAGTCACTGCGTAAAATCCTCACCGCACTGTCACTCTTAGAGTATACGGTGATCATTCTTGAATGACCTAAGGATTGTCTCTGCCCCAAATTTGACAGCTTTGCTTGATCACATATCCGCTAAAATGGAAATGTGCTTCGTCGCTAAAGATGATTTTCTTGGCCAAATCACCGTTCTTTTCCAACAAATCTCCGAAGCATTAAATGGTCGCCTGATTTCAATTCCTGGGTTAGCTGAATCTTGAATGGGTGTAGATGCAGCTGGTGCTTTTTGAAATGTTTAATTGCAGTGGCCGATGACGCATTGAGGTTACGGGAATTTCCGCACACTATCATACGATGTAGCATTATTTTCGGCCGTTGGCGGCTAGTAGGAGGCCGGCCGTTTTTTTTTATTATTTGCAACTATTTATTAAAACTTGGCAACTAATTTTTACACAGTGCTTTAATTCGGGGCGTTCCTTCTACAGAAAACTGCACATAATTTGCGCACAGTCTCAGCTACACACTCTTCGTACTTGTAATGAATCTTCACTCGCTCATCCATTTGTTTAACCGTAACGTGTTTACTATGACACGTGACCCTGCACAATTATGCCAACCCTTCGGAATGAAAATGGCGCACAATTCAAATCCTGCGTTACTTTTAGGACACCCTTTGTTATAATTGTAATACATATGGAACATTTCCTATTAAAATAGTTATTAAAACAGTACAATAGTAAGCTATTAAAGTGATTCTATTATTTACCAGTTAACCATTAACTGGTAATAATCGAAGTGTTGACAGAATACTTAGCTAAACTGAAACAATAGACAAAAAAATGTAATTTTAAGAAAAAAGTTTCCTATGAACAAGAACTTGAAAATGCTTAGAAAAATTGCTCAGGATGACAAAAATATACCAAAAACATATTTAGTATCTGCAAATGAGATATAATAATTTTACCTACGACCACTACTGTAAATACTTAAAAACACACCGTCTGCGATCAATGTAAGATTCCTATTACATACGGTAAAAAAATCGCACAGTTTTCCTAGCAACCGCCTAGCAACGGCCAATACAATACTGTTTGTATTGACCGTTGCTAGGCGGTTGCTAGGAAAACTGTACGATTTTTTTACCAAGCTGTGCGTTTTTTTACCGTACGACGTAATAGGATTCTTGCATTGATCGCAGACGGTGTGTTTTTAAGTATTTAAAGTAGTGGTCGTAGGTAAAGTATAGTACGTGTAATACGTGGTGTAATGCAATTACACACTCATAGAATTACGCACTCGCCGCTACGCGGCGTCGTGCGTAACTTTTCCATTCGTGCGTAAATGCTTTTTACAACACTTATTACATAATATACTATTACCGAGGACAAAGTATTTTTTGTTTAAAAAGATTTGTAACAACACTTTCAGAAAGATAATATATTTTTCGGAACGAGCATCTCCGATAATACAAGATTCTGATGGTAATCTGAATCGTTTTCGAGAAAACTGATCATTGGTACCCATCCGTTTCCGTGCACATTGATGAGACATATTAAGAAAATCAGAAAATCAGAAGTGTTATACAATATAATAAGAAAAATAGAGCTGCAACTCTAGCTATGTATTGAAAGGACCCCGCAACTATCCTTATGGAAAACCGGTATTGGTCGAATGGTACGAAACTTTGCCGAATGATAGTTCTCAATGTGTCAATTAAAAAAGTCAATGGGATCTAGGTCTGAAAAACTACTGTACTGAAGTTACAGCCTTCCTAAGTTATCGAATCCACGCGCTCGATGACCATCAAGTCAAGTTTTCTGAAGGTGCTTCAGCTATTTTCTGAAGATTGAGGAATGCTGCAGATACGCTGATGACGGATAAGTGTTCAGCATGCGTAAAAACATAAGATATCGCTCAGGCAGTAGGTACGTGTCGCTACCGCTGTTCTTCAGTAGGTACTTCTGAAGACTGAAGGATGATACAGCTATTTTGACCATGGATTCGCATTTAGTACACTAAAATACATCAAGAAACAGCCAGCTTGGTTACTTTATAAAGAAATATTTGCTTTTATTCCTCCGTAAATCATTGGACTTGATGGTCATCGAGCACGTGGATTCAATAACTTCAGAAGGCTGTAGCTTCAGCACAGTAGTTTTTCAGACCTAAGTCCCATGGACTTTTTTGATCGACACATTGAGGACTATCATTCGGCAAAGTTTCGTACCATACCGGAGGATTAGCACCCTCTGTACAGGTATGGTCGGGTAGAAGAATGTTGGCTTGGGTCAATGTAAGAGATTGACACCGGTTGGCATTTGACCACCCCCCTAATTAATGAGGTTTTCCAGGTTTCCCTCATTCCTGCACTGAATGGTGGTTAGGGCCTACCAACATAAGTTGTTCCTGGGCGCAAATGCGGCCTGCCTAATAATAATATGCCGCCTCCTCTCCCGCACAAGTCTCCGACTTATGGGCTAATTCTCGTAGTTAGAATGAGGAGTAGAGATATTATTATTATTATTATTATTATTCGACCTGGACTGGTTTTCCATAAGGATAGTTGCAGGGTCTTTTGGAGAACCAAAATCAAAATCATATCTCGAAGAGAAGGGATATTATAAACAATATTTCTGTGAACTTTTTTTGTTTTAGTTTTATGCAATCGATAGCACATTTGATTTTCGGAGTACATTTAATCAAAGATTAGGATAATTCATGTTGGTTCATATTTAATGTGAATGAAAATGTATAAGTAATGCCTATTTTGTAAAAAAAAGATGTAGATTTCTAAAATCGATCTAGGTACTTCTTTCTTTCTTATTTGAGGTGCTATTTTTCAAAAAATATATTGTTTTCCCGGAAATGGTATGTTTTTTCCTATTTTTAAAGGTATTATGCTTATTCACATATATTCAAAAATAATCTTATCAAACAATAATTTTCGATACTAGGGATCTAGGTATCTGGGAATCTAGATATTGAAGATATATGTTTTTTTTTTAAATGTTTTAATATAAAAAATGGATTACCTTTAGCATCCTTGCCACTGTGGGAGGAAAAGATTATTATAATTGATTATTTAAAGTCCTGCACTGAGTTTCAATTGGATTGGATTTAAAAAAATGTATGCTTGGCAACGCGCCTTTATCACCTTGTTTCTTTTTTACTAACATTTTTCAGTTTGGCTACATATTTTAAAATTATGCCATATATGTCACAGGATTATTTCTTTAACCATTTGTAATTTTACGCTTTCTTTAATTGGTAATGTTTCTTTAGATATCAAATATAAATTCAAAGGAATACAACACCCCAATATATTCTTTGTGCATTGGCAGTGATGCCGACTGGAAGTTTTTACAAGAACTATCTTTGGCAACAAAAGCAGAACCTATACGCATTTATTTAGATGATGATGGAGGATCTGATGTATCCACTCAATTAAAAAGTTTTTATGATAAGATTCGTAGTCCCGTTTTAAGTAACGTTAATTTCAACAATTTACCAGCAACAGCTCAGATGACTCAGCTGCATTTCCCAATTTTCTTTAATGGATCCGAAATAACAATAGCCGGAAAAGGTAATTATATTACTAATTGTGAGTTTAATTCAACTTTCATGACGAAGATAAACACATTTTTGATATAGAAAGAGTTATAGAGAATGTAATAGAAATGTTGCAACAAACTTTCTCATCAAAATGTGTTACACCCTTTATATTACTTGACATAAATGAAATACGGAATATTGCAGCTATTTTGATGAATAATCTCTTTCTTTTAAATAAACAAAAAGCAATTTTTTTAAACAGGTCTCTAAGGGTTATTTGATATTTCAAAGAACTGATGTTTGACCTCATTTTTAATCAGTTTCCCAAGAATATACAGGAAAACTGATATGGCATTTTCAATGAACATATATTTGACCACTATTTTTAAAAATCAATACTAATAATTATTACTGATTTATAACAGTATCATTCAAGCAATGGAAAGTAAAGCAGGGCTATGTTACAATAGTTACACGCGAAAAATCAGAACTACAATGCCCAAAGCTATTGCATTTCCTATATTTATCTAGTTGTAAACACAATTTATATCTTATTTTACATAAAAATTTGTTCAAGGTAATATTATAACTATTATATAATATTTAATTGGAGTACCGAAACATAAAAAAATATATTATAATTTTGATAGCCCTAATATTAGATAGGTAGTTGCACCTATTTTATAATTTGGATGAACATATAACCTATATCAATATAATTTTAAATCAACATAGTTTTATCAATTATGTTAAGTAAAATTGTACTTCAAAATGCAGTAATGCAACAATATGAGTTGTGACCAACGAGTTGCCAAAGGCGCAATTCAAGAATTAGACTGGGCCATCAGAGAATTTTTGAAGAAGCTGCAGTAGGGATTTGCAAAAAAAAGAAAAAATCAATCGTACATCATTATTTCACCAATTACTTTTCATCATTAAGTCATCCAAAGGGAGTTTATATTCGATTCAATATAATGTTACTTCATTTTCCAATGCTTATTCCATATTTACAAAAGTTATAACTTAAATACTAAATAAGTGTAATATTGGTTTAAGATTGACATGATACTGTTTGCATTCATAGTAGCTAATTGTTTGTACAGCTTGAACGAAAACTAAGGAAATATTTTAACTTCCAATAACTTATCCTAAAATCTAGCAGTCATACTTTGACTGTTTCGATGAGAAATTTATTTCCTCATATTTGTAAATATTTTTTACGGTTTGGCTTTGTAAATTATCGTGACTGTGCCATTCATTTTTTAAACCCAGAATAGCTATAAAAGATAATAGTTTCCAACATATCTTATTAAAATTAAAAGTAAATTAAATTTTACATGTATTTAATAAAGTTCCATTTAAGAAAATTAAAATATCTGCGTCTGAAAATTTTGAACTGAACTCTAAATGTTTACCGTGTATCCGCAACCACTATTTTTACGTATGGTGAAAACGATATCTTCTTATAGTCTTTAGTTTCGGAGATATCTAATACATTCGAAGATACTGCAAACGCTATTTTCTCAAGAAATTCAACGAGTAATTCAAAATACAATAATATACGGAGTGTTTATCTTGATAAAAAAGTTAAATAATGCCCAGAAAAAATGGGTCAACCTATATATATATATATTTTTTAAAATGTAGGTAAATGCACTGATTTTATGCAACTTTTAATTGAAATATTTTATGCCTTATATTTCAGGTGTTTCCGGCAATAATACAAAAGCCATAAAAATCTCGGCGAAGGGAAAAAAAGGCCCTGTAGATTTAGAAGCTAAAATAGGGATACCTTTGACACGACTTGAACGTGTATGGGCCTATCTAACAGTGAAACAACTGATAGATGAATCTCTTGCAACGAGCTTACAAAGCAATAAGTCAGATTTGGAGAAGTTGGCACTGGAATTAGCACTGAACTATTCTTTAGTCACTGAGGTAACTTCGCTAGTTGTCGTCAAACCCAACGATACTAGTTCAGCAATCAACGCAGTTGACGCTTCCCAAGGAATATTTCCGGAATCCCCGAATGAATTACCCATGTGTAATAACATAACAAGTGAGTAGGTACGGTTACTTATCTACAGTGTGTCCTGATTTGGTTGTTGACACTCCAGGAATATATGAAGAACCGACAAAATTATCTCAATTTTTATTCTCTAAAGATAATTTCTTAGACTATATGTATTATCGACTTATTTATTATAAATCTAACTCTACAGTGCGAGTCAGAGTCAGCATTACTTAACATTATCATTTAAATAGACTATATGACTAAATTATAAATAATTTTCGCTTTTTAATCAACTAAAAAGCTATTTTTGAGAGTTGCAGCAATATACAGGGTGATTCACAACTTATCCAAAAAAATTTGGGAATAGATGCAGCATGAGAAATGGAATCAATATCGTAAAAAATTTTTTGTAAAATCCTTATAGTTTCCGAGAAAAAAATATTGAAGTTATAGAACATTCAACCACTACATAGCTGGACAACTGTATTCTCTAGCGTCATTCGCCACGTGGCCTCAGCGACTTCGAATACTGAATTCGGATTTTGCAATCGTCGTTGCGATATTTACTTGTTATCTGTGGTGATTACAACAGGTTTTTAGTAGTTAGTGTCAAAAATGGGTAGTTTGTGTCAAAAATGGTTTGCGTGTACTCGGAGTTGATGGATATCGTTTTAATTTATGGTGAAGCATTTGTGTTATGGTGAAACAAGACATTTGTGTTAGTTCGTAGAAACTGAGTACAACTGACCCAAATGTGTTTACACATTGCTGGATTAAAATTTTGAGCAATTGTTGTAACATCGGGTAGGTCAAATGATTTTATTATTTAAAATTACAAATTAATTTTATTAATTAATAAAGGCAAAAGCAGTTGAATTTGCCGATATAAAATAGGTGCGATAAAATTCTATTTACATATTTCTTTCATTGCGAAAGTTTTTGTCCGTTTTTATCACACCGCCATGCCGATCGCATTGTGCGAGGTCAGGTTTTACAGTGGACCAGTTTCCAGTGCCGTGCAGAAGTGTATTTTTAAATCATTTTCGAACTGCCCTTTTGATTTTTTCTTTACAAAATTGTATTTGTAAGGTCCCCTGTACATCCAGAATTTTTTTTTGGATTCTGAAGTTCTGAATCACCCTGTATATATTGTAAAGCTTTCGAAGGCATAAAAATATATATGGAGATATTGTCCGTAACCTAAAAAAATCTGTGAATTAGAAAGTTTTAGTGTTAATACACTATTATAACAATTATGTCGATAAAACTGCATGTTTATAAAATTTTAATACCTACTATGCGTTATGTCCTAAGATATTATTAGTCACCATTCGGGAAGACACTGGAATTATTAATTTTAATCAAATTATTACGTTCAAATAAGCCTGTCAAGTTTCATTAAAATTGATGAAAGAGTTTGTTTATACGATACGTTGCTTTTACAACCACTGCAAAATTATTTTGTGCTGCAAACAACACTAAAAGTATTGTAATACTGTTTACTGATTATAATTTCATTAATTATTAATTACAATTAACACTAACTGATAATAATTTCATCTTTAGACATCCATTCACGTCTCTTCTAGAATGTATTCGTTGTTTGTGACTAATTAGCGGCTGATTTTCCTATATGATTATCAAATTTGTGACTTTGTGACAGTACTCCGTATATTTGTCTCTTCTAAACTCTACTAGCAGTGCTATTAGTTAAAAGTGTTTTATCATTCAAAATTTTCAAAGCTTCTTTCAGAACATTTTAAAATACTAGCCATACAATTTACCCATGCTTACATATTAGTATATTACGTTACTATCTGTTCTGTTGACGCCATTGGAATTGTAGCAGAAAGCTGTTCACGCAGAAACTAACAGTAGACAGCAAATTACTCTCCACAATACTATATAAAATATTTAAAATTTTAATTATTTTATAACAGATTTACAGTTACTGTGGTAGAAGCTTCCTCCTAGCAGCCATATTTTTCAAACATGCATACGACAAGATATCAACCATATCGTACACCAGAATTACGCCAAAAAGAAATTCAATTTTATAATATATGTATCATGAAATAGTTAGTTTAATGCATGTCTATTGAATTATATTTAATAACTTATTATGTACATATTCTTTATTTTTTTATTAAATCGAAAATTGTGTCATCATCAATCATTTTTCAAAATTTATTACAGATGATTGCCAAATTTGCTTAATTTTAAAGGCGTTTAGTTTTATAAAGGTATCGTGGTATATTTCATCAATAAAATTTTCAATGCAAGTAGTTTTTGATTCTCTAGATACATATTTAAGTTTATTGTTAATGACTGTATATTGGTAAACATTAACTCTTGAGTATCTATCTTATGTGGCCAACAATCAGCCATAGCCCAAAGCTTTTATTAATAAAACGATTTAGTATATAAACGCATATATTATATTGCTAAAAAGTTTTATTGTACTGTATGTTGGAAACATTAATACAACATTCATTGAGTTCAAGTTGAAAAAATAGCATTTATATAACACGTATAAATTTTTCTTTGGACACAATTATATCACCACCATACAGCTACTTCGTAAATAGAGGCTAGAAAACAACAAACCAGCAAATTTGTTTTATAAGACAATAGTGTACATCGGTTATGCAGTCTATGTTTTTTGTATAAAGGTTTTATAGTATATTTTATAAATGCTGTAAGAATGTAACGAAAGAACACTAATTAGTGGAGTAAATATTATATGCACAGCTTTTATAAAATGGTTTTTTAAGCTGCGCCTATTTTGGATTTATAAATGCTTATTTAATACTGAATAACTGTTCTCATCATCTTTTAATAAAGCTTTTACCTGTGGGAGAGTGGTTATATAGATATTCTTAAAGCTATTATAAACTTTATTTGTGCTACTCGGGTTGTTATTAACTGCAAGGACCAACATTTTCAATTTAATGTTTCTTGTGATATATCATAAAGTAATGTTGTTTATGGATAGTTATTTTTAGACTAGAACTTAACTATGTGTTGCAAAATATTTTTTGAATAAGTTATTCATGAAATAATCTTCAAATGAAAGATGGCGTTCCCTGCCATTGTTCACAGGGTACGATGGAATGATTTAATGCATATTTTAGATAGGTCGACGATGTTCTTTAAAAAATTGTCCCCTTGCTCACCATATCTCATGCGGATAGATTTTTATCTTTTTGAGGACCATCAAAAATTAGAAATAATAACAATAAAATGCATCCGTTTAGAAGTTGGTTTAGTAGAATGTATGACATTTAACTGCTAGTAACCAAGTTGTTGTAATATTAATGAAATAAATATATCAATAGTATTAGTAATTCATAGCACACTTATGCTGGCCCCAAAAATTTGATAATTTTTATTATTGAAATAAAAGAAAACCGCGGAATTAATTTTTGTCAAATTTGATACATGGGGTTTCGAGGGAAGCTGATTCATACTGGACAGTTAGATTTATAATAAATACGTCGTTAATATAGCTTCTAAAAATGTTTTTTTAAGAATATCGTAGCTGGCCATGAAATAATCCAATGATCTAAGAAAAAGTGGCTGTGATGTCTACTCTTGGGTCTACCCATAAAAAGAGAGACTTTTGTTTTTCTTGGTTTTTGATGGTTCGGGACATGTTGTTTTGATATAAAGTGGTATAAATTCAGGGTTCAGGTAGATCATCAGAAAATAAAACAATTTGTTCTTATGGACTTATTGACTCTTATGAATCTATAGTTTTTTGTATTTGAGATACATACAATATCTTTTTAAATCAAATTTTAGCTATAACAGTAAGACAAAACACAATAGACCCTTAGTCCGTAGCAGCAGCATACCCAAACTACAATAAAACGCAGGCTTAAAATCAATTCTCTGTCAACTCAAAATGGTATGGCAGTCCTTAATTGAGAAGATATATGTATATTATTTCGTAATTTGTTTTTTTATTTTTGTATAATACCATTAAATTATTGAAGGAACATATTACTTATAGTTTATAGTGCAAAGAATCAGTTACATTCATATTTATAATGCAAATGATATTATTGATACATTTACAGATTTCTTCTCTAAATCTTATTTACCGTCTATCTTCTAACAGTAATAATTCATATTCCAGCAATAACATTAATAATATCATACATATTCGCGACTTCAGTGAAACCGAAATTCTTTCGGCTTTAAAAAGAATTAAACCTAAAATGACTACTGGTCCGGATGGTGCCCGCGTTTGTGATAAGAGACTGTGTTCAGATTTTTTCTCGTCCCTTAAAAAAATTATTCAACTTATGCCTAAACTGAGTGTCGGTTACCTGATTTGTGGAAGCGTTCAAAAGTGTGTCCAATTTTTAAAAATGGTGATAAAAACATTATTAATTTTCGTCCTATCTTCATTATATGTAATTTTTGTAAAGTCTTTGAAATATTACTTCATGACTATATTTATTATAACATCTGTAATATGATAACACCCTGCCAGCGTGGTTTATAAAAGGACGCTCTACTGTCACTAACTTGATCAGTGTTATGCAATTTATAGCCGACTCTCATAGACAACAATTTATAAACTGATGTCATATATACGGATTTCAGCAAGGCGTTTAATAGGCTTGATCACTCCAAAAGCTTGATATGTTTGGCGTATCAGGGGCCTTAATGAATTTCTTCAAATCTTATTTAGACAACAGAAAACAGTATATAGTTTATAATGGGTATAAATCGATTGAGTATGTCGCTACATTAGGAGTTCCTAAATGTTCCATTCTTGGACCTTTACTACTCATTATATGCATTAATGATTTAGTTAACAACTTAGACGTAAATTTTCTTCTTTATGCCGATGATGTGAAAATATACAGCTCAATTCGCAACATTTATGACTGTATTCAGCTTCAACGAAACCTTCTTACTATAAAATCTTGGTGTAATAATAACAAGCTAATGTTAAATACGGAAAAATGTAATATCATGCGTTTCTCCAATAAGTTCAATCGATTACAGCATTGATAATGACGTTTTGTCAAGACCGAAAACATTTCGAGACCAGGAGCTCAATTCTTCACGGTGAGAGAATATAATGCTCCCTGAGGCACGTTCCTTCATTTCGCTCTACTCTGTTCTATCACAAAATTCATACTGTATTCTCGACAAGCGGGGATCGAGTCATGAAAGTGAAGAATGAGGAAATGTACCGACCAATCAGAAAGCAGTAAATAGGCGGTAGAATGAAAACTAGTGATGAGCTAGTCATGAAATTAGTGCTGCTTATTATTGTTATTTGATTGTCAGTGTCAGGTGCAGTCTAAAAAGGAAAGAAAATGGAAATCAATAAAAAACCGAAGCTAAATCCAGTAAGTTCTAAATAAAAAGAACTTCTAATAGATTATATTGTGAGTAAAAAGCAAATGTACACTGGAAAGTTAACACCCAACTACACTAGAGAGATAATGAGGGCTAATTGGGAAGAATTTACAAATATTTCAATACTATTTTAGGTAGATTCATTTTATTCTATTATTATTTTATTCGAGTACTGTACAATCCTTCAAGTAAACACAAATTATACGAAAGTTTCCTCAAAGTCCTCGAAGGATATCACCACAAAACAGTAACTAGAGATATTACAGACAGATTGCGGAATTCGTAATTTGTGAAACATGTCAAAAAATATAGGGTTGGGTTTAATGATCCCTGCCTGTTCCCCCGAAAATATCAGTGGAAGAAATAGGGAGCAATTCTTTTATCATTACTCAATAGAACACCATTCAAGAATACTGATTAATGAGTTTTAGTAGACACGTCCCCTTTCTCTCGTTCCTTCTACTCCTTATAATTCAAGAATAAAGACCCTGGGCGTTATATTTGATGAAAAACTATTATTTAATCATCATATTGATACTGTTGTCTTCAAAGCTAATAGAGCATATGGATTTATAGTTCGCAACTGCCGTGATTTTTCAAGCTACTTTGTTACGTTAGATCGAAACTTGAATATGCCTCTCCCGTACGGTCCCCGCAAAGTGGTGTCCGCATTAATAAACTGGAATCGATTCAGCGTCGATTTTTTAAATTTTTAAATTTTAAATCTGATGGCTACTATCCTCATATCGGATATCCGCATGACAGATATTTTCAATAGCAACCTTAATGACTTAAAAATACTTTATTTTTAATGTCTGGTAGAGTCAAATATGTAATTTTAAATCTTCATTTATGTGTATTATTTAGTGTATAGATTTTATTTATTTCCTTTTTTTTTTTGTTGTTTTTTTTTTTTTGTTCCTTTTAATTTTGTTTGTAGTTAATGTCTCTTCTTTTATTGTTGTCTGTAAAATCCCTGTTCTATAATTGGGTAGTACCTGTTGAACAGTGTATTATTTAATAAAATAAAAAGTAAATAAAATATTATTTTTTATAGTGTTACTATTATAATGCAATGTAATTTTAAAGAAATGAATCTCCTCTCTTCAAATTAATTATAATTCAACATGAAAACACAGTTTTCATAAATATAGAGCATAAAATTCTAGAACTTGGACAAATTAGAAATTACATTTAATTCATTAATTATACTTTCATTTCTAGACTGGATCGTAACGAACTTCGGCACAGTGGAGCCTACAACTATAGAAATTACTACAGAAATGACCACTGAGGAAATTACTACCACTACTACTCCTGATTATACTACCACGGAATTAATCATAACTACTGCAAAACCACCTATAACAACAGAATTTCAAACTACTGAAATCAGCGATATAGTGGAATCTAATTTTGGTATAAAGGTTCCAACGGTAATGCCAACTACAACTACAGAAGAAATTCCTATAACCCAAAAATTTATCAAAACCTGTAACGACATGCCATTTGGATGCTGCCATGATGGGGTTACAACAGCAGTAGGACCCAATTATTCAGGATGCGATCCTATACCTAAATCAGGTAACTTGCCAATATAAATGTAAATGCCTGTAGATTCACGCCAAATTGCCACTATGATGACGTTAACTCTACTAATAGGCTATTGATTATATCAAAAAAAAAACAGGGTTAAAACGAACTACGACGTTCAAGCAATTTTATTGTATGAATCGTTCAAAGGGTAATTTTAGATGAAAAAACCGCGGAGTGCTATTAAATTAGAGGGTGGAAATTGGAGATAGGGATGAAAATGCACCCCTTTCAGTTTTTTAATTGTAGGTCGAAAACGAAGCAAAATTTTGCTATAGTTCATAGGAAAAAATATTTAGAGAATTGAATTTCCCATAAAACTTAATAAATAACTTATTTAAAAAATTTAAAAGTAAAATTTTATGCAAAAAATCGTTAATAAACAATTTGAAATAAGCAAAATATTCGTTCTGATTTTTTTTTTACTTTTTTGCCTCTTGTTTCTTTTTGAGTAAAGATAGGTATAGGCATTGCTTCATAGAAAAAAAAGTAGATCAAATTTCCTTCAAAACAAGAGGTTGTAAAGTATTTTTGGATGAAAATTGACTGATATTGCCGCTCAAATTTAGTAAATTTTTCGATTTTTGTCGCGTTTACCGTTATACGTTTTAATTATAATTTTTTGCAAAAAATAAAGGCAAAAAGACTTTCAAGGATTTTCATCACATGATTTATTCGAAGGGCCATTAAAAATGAAAAAAACGTGGTGTGCTATTAAATTAGAGGGTTGAAATTGAGGGGTGAAAATGCACTTTTACGGAGCACATAAAATATAGCACGAAAACGATGCAAAATTTTGGTATAGTTCATAGGAAAAATTTTGTAGAGAATTGAATTTCTCATCAAAATGGCTTATTTAAAAAATGTATAACGAATATTTTATGTAAAAAATCGTTAATAAACTATTTTAAAGAAAGCAAAAAATAAGATTTTTTGATTTTTTTTTACTTTTTTAATAAAATAATTTAGTAAAATAAGTACAATAAAGTTTATTAATAATCTATATGTCCACGAATGGAGTTGACAAGAGGAGAAACTCTTTTGTTTTTGACTTTATCGAAAAATGCCACTCTTTATAAAAATTTCTGCCCCTCGAAAAAATGAGACTGTCATACAAACATCTTAGATTAGATATACAGGGTGCTCATAAATTAGAAAAAACACGAAAATACTCAAGAGAGAAGTACCATTATTTATTATTTTACACGACATTTTTATAAAACAAATCTGTTTATAACCTCATATTATGTCCTAATACAAATTTTAAAATAAAAATTGTAATTTTTGAGGTGGGCAGTAGCTATACATATAGAGTAAAAGTCAGAACTATACCGAAATTTTGCTTCGTTTTCGAGATATAATTAAAAAACTGAAAGGGGTGCATTTTCACCCTTATCTCCAATTTCCACACTCTAATTTAATTACACTCCACGGTTTTTTAATCTAAAATGACCATTTGAACGATTCATGTAATAAAATATCTTGAACGTCATAGTTCCTTTTAAAATCCTATATTCAATAGTTTATAATACGAATTGGAATAATAATAATAAATCCAAAAAATTTATTGGTCTTAAAAATAAATGTTTTCTATATTTTAGTTAATTGTTCATTTCAATGAATTTTTCATTCGTATCACAATATTAATTTTCATACCTACCAATTTCCTAAATAGAGACGAATAACTTTTTTATGTTCTAGAGAGCTGTTCATTGCCATTGAGTGTAGGCTCGTGCATTAAGTCCTCAATGAATAAGTATACTATTAAATTTGCTTATAGTATAGATCAAGGCGAGTGTCGTCCTTATTGGTACGCAGGCTGTGGGGGTAATGATAACCGATTTGGTTCTAAAGCAAACTGCGAAAAATATTGTGTCAAACCCTTGGGCACTGGTAAGTTGTAAACAGTAGCACGTTATAACAGGATATAGTTGTGGTTGCACATGTCCGCAAGTGACCTGTTTTAAGTATTACGTCAAGAGCGCCAGCCTGACGCCGGCACCGCACAGTGGGACGAAACGCCACTGTCGCATTCAAATTACTCTACACCCCACATAGTTCAACTGTTTCGGGGTTTTTTCAAAATGTTTGTCTTGAATGTCCCTATCGATCCCTCATTTGAGATTTTTTATTTCGGTCTTCATTTTTTTGAAAATTGACTCCAAATTTCGATTTTTATGACAAAAAAAAACTGATTTTCGGCGCAAATGTGCTCCTACATGGCGCAAGTTGATGTTTTTCGAAATTTTTTTCAGCTGAAAATCTTCGTTTTGATAATTACTACAAAACTGTCTGGTGTTAGGGTTGCTTTCGGTGTGCAGCAAAAATGAAACTCTCTCTCTCAACGGTAAAATAAAAGTATTTTTATTGGAAACAAAGTTTGGTGAGAAGAAATGTTGTCGGGGCGAGCGTTCGTTGAAGAGTCCTGGTGTGGAGTCGCTTGCAGGTATATGTATCTAGTCCCTGGCGCCAATCTGTCGTGGACATTTTCCTGGAACCCTGGTGCGTCCCGCGTCTGTACTTTGTCCTTGCAACTGTTAGACCGGTCTGGCGTCAGGTTGGCGCTCTTGACGTAATACTTAAAATGGGTCACTTGCGGACATGTGTACCCACACAGTAAAGATTACATATACATACTTCAAGGATGTCTTCCTTGAGTGAAAATAAACCAATTTTGTACAATTTTCTTTTCTTAAAAAATTTTTTTTTTTTTTTGAAGCCGAACATGAATACATACATACCTAAAGTACTTAAAATACCCGAGGTCGCTAGAGCGACCGAAGCAGGCTTTTAATTTTTTACATTTTTCTTTGTTGTTGTATTTTAAGAAAACGATTATATTTTTTGAATTGTCACTATATTTTCTTAAAAAAAAGTATACCTTTTACATACCGCTAATTGAACTTGAACCTATTGAAAAAAATATTTTCTAAACCATATTTGACTGAAAGTGATATTTTTAAAATTTCGATAAAATTGTCTCAAAACACTTGATTCAATCACTATACACTAGGTTCAATCATTCCTTTTGATATAGAACCATCCATGAGATAATCTCATGAAGGGCATAAACACCATGTATACCTAATTAATATATTACGTATAATTAGATGTTGTTTTCACTCTTATCTTTACTGTATATTTTTAGATAGGTGTAAATTACCCATATTTTTGGGACAAATGCAACACCCTTGTGCAGCAACGCCAGAATTATTTTGGTTTTACGATCAGAAGAAAGACGAATGCGTAAAATATTTATATTCTGGTTGTCTTGGAAATTCAAACAGATTCTCAACTCAACAGGAATGCCTACAAATTTGCGCATCGCCATCTAAAAGAAAAAGGCCGCAAGGTATGAAAATAATATACCTACTCGTAATTATTGTAGTTAGAAAGGTATAACAAATCCGATTTTTGCGATACCAGGCAGCTTATGCACCGGATAGTTATATCATATTATACAGAGTGTCCCAGAATAACGTGTACAACGGAAGACCACAGATTCGTGGACTCAAAATTTAGATTTAGGCTAATTCACCTATATCCGAAATCGCTTCGTTTGGCCGCTAGTTGGCCTCAGTTAGTGAAAATTTTTAGAATTTTGTAAATAACTCGAATACGTATTAATCGATTTTTATTATTTTTGGGGTTTGAACTTTTGCTTCCGATCTACACATACAGAGTGTTTTTGAAAACTTACAACTCCTACAAAATTGTTGTGACAATATCCGTTCATAACTTTTCCTCTTTCGGGTAATAATGACAACTATTTTTAATTTGATAGGTGATACCATTTGGAAGTTTTTAGGCCTCTTGTAGAATTTTGATTTGAGCGGTTTGGTTACAAAAAAATATTTTTTGAATGTCTACATTATCTTGCCACCCATATTACAATACTTAACAAAGTGCTAGTAGGCACTGATTTTGTAGGTTGACTTGTTGACGATAATTTCAGCTTGATCTTTAAGTAATTGTACCTGCTAATTCTTAATGAATGTTTATTACGATAAGATATATTACATATTACTTCATTTTTCGATATGGATACACACACACACACACACACACACACATACGATGAATTAGAGTTATTTACAACGTGCCTAGTTTTATTGACATAATTAGTAAAAGTAATCAAATACAATAAATAATGCTGGAGATAAAAGTAACAAATTTAACAACAAACTGTTCAAAATGACCACCGTTGTTTCTACAACAAAGGTTAATTCGGCGAAGAAAGTTAAAGGCTACCCTTTACAGTTCTTGAGGGCAATTTTTTAAAACATTTACGGCAATTTGGATATGCCCCCACAACTCTTCTTCAGTGTTAGATGTGGAAGCATACACTGTTGTTTTCAGAGTGGCCCAAGGTGCCTGGTGAACGTACAGGCGAGTTAACAGGAGCATTATTCCCTCTACCGATTCATCGACGAGGGAATGTTAGCTCTGAGTAATAACAGTACACCTTCCAATAACTCGGGTAAAGTGTTTTGCAAAAATTCTAAATCAAGTTCCCCATTCAGTCAGTCTATTGGGTAGAATAACAGGGTCAATAATAATGCTATCAATGCGTTGTATTTCATTGTTTTTTCTAATTATTTCAATAAAATTAGGCACGTTGAAAATAACTCTAATTCGTCGTATATGTGTGTGTATTCATATCGAAAAATGAAGTAACATGTTATCGTTGTAAACACTCATTAAGAATTGGCAGCTACAATGACTTAAACATCAAACTGAAATTACAGTCAACCTACAAAATCAAAGGCAATTGATCCTAGAATCGAAACGATCGAATCGGAAATAACAACCAATATCGTCGTGAGAACAGTCCTATTATACAGGCTGTTACATATTGTCTTCTCACTACTAAGGGATATCGAAAAGGGTAAGAGATCCGAACTAGCTTAAATGGGGCAAAGTTGCATAATCAGAGGACTAACATTATGCTTCTGAAAAATCAACGCTAACATGATTAGTTTCCGAAATATTTGAAAAAAAAAACGAAATTTTGGAAACCCGTTTTTGCTTAATTTCAGCATTGTTTGAGGTTATATTGAAAAAAGAAGAAAACTTTCTCACGGCAACTTTTTGCCCGCTATCGAATGGCATAATCAAATTTTATATCTAACTTTTCGTCATTCCAGGACCATCATCAACTTCATCTTTTTAAATACGGCCCTGGAATTTTTTTTTCATTTTTTGCAAGCCTTCATGACCCCCAATACTGTACTGCGTCAGCCCGAACCATATTCAGATGTTTTGTGTCGAAAAATTCAACTGCAATGTATTCGTTCCAAATTTATCTAAATTTTTTATTTAGATTTCTATGTTTATTTTAATTGAAGATGGTCCTGGAAAGACGAAACGTTACATATAAAAATTTATTATGCCATTCGATAGAGGGCAAAAAGTGGCCAATAGAAAGTGTTATTTTTTTAATATCACTGTGACGTGTTATTTGCGTCGTTCGTCACTATGACGCCTGAGCGGCGGCGGTTTCCTCGGGCGCCAGTTTCCGTTTATAGTGCAGAAACACCATTACTCGGGCGGCTACAGTGAAGACACGGTATGTCCAGAGGGTCTAGAGAGAGTTAGACTTCACACAGGAATAAAAGGCCACAAATCGTTACATTTATTTAGTCCAATTCTACCTATATACACTATGCTACTCTAAATCTAAAGCTAAACGGTTACGGTTATATACAGGGTGACTACGGAAAACGGTAAAATGTCGGTGCGGTGTTAAGCGGTGACCTGACGAAAGCAAAGCACAGCAGAGCCAGCGGAATGGTAAAACAGGCAAACGGTTAATGCGGTAAGCGGTAGTGCAGATACCAGAAAGAAGGAAGCGATCTAGCAAAGCAAAGCTACAAACAATAACTATAGACTAGACTTGGCTACTATCTTTACACAAAAGCAATAAAACAGTAACAGCGGGGCTCCTCAATCCTGGCAGGCGGCTGGCAGAAAATCTCTGAAAGAAAGATGGATTAGTTACGACCTGCGTTTCAACTCATAGGACAGAAAGGGAGGAAAGGATGACAACATCCTATCAGCCGAACGCGCAGTTAGGTTAAGTGTACCGGAAAGAGACAACAGTACACCCAACCACGTCGTACCTGAAAGAGAAACGAGATTAACTACGACCTGCGTCTCCACTCATAGAACAGAAAGGAAATGGGACACGACATTCTATCAGCAGAGCGCGCAGTTAGGTCGAATGCATCGGACAGTGACAACAATGCACCCTTCCTTGTCGTATGTCGGCGGTTCGGTACGACCTGCGTTTCAACTCATAGGACAGAAAAAGGGGGAGACAACATCCTATAAGCCGAACTCGCAGTTTAGGTCCAGTGCACCGGACAGAGACAACAGTGCACCTTTCCTTGTCGTGGTACGGCGGATACTGAAAAGAGAAGCTATGATTAATACAAACGGACAGCGGCCAAGTCTTTACCTATGTTCCCTAACTTTGACTCACTTCTTTCCTGGGCACGTCTGGTCGGTCGGAACGCTGGAACAGGACTAACTCTGCAGTACAATTACCTCGTCAGGTCTCTTGTCACCTCAAGAGACTTGCGCATTGAATCTGCGCGGAACCTAACTTACTGCAGCGGTCTTCGGACTGGACTGGTGTTGGCGGCGGCTGGAGATGAACTGACTTCTCCAATTTCGTTTGTTTCCTAAGTCCCTCGTCTTGGATTGGCGGCTGCGCAGTTCGTCTAACCTGGACTTGTAGAATTCTCACCTACTTCCAGCGGTGACGTATCTTCGGGCAGGTCGGCTGGCGGCTCGACTGGATGCGACGACGGCTCGTGGTAGACTAATCCTTTGAATACAGCCTGTCTGCTACATTCGTGGGGCGAATCCTAGCGACTGCACAGTTTCTTCAGGCTGGACTTAGTGAAATCTTACCAATTCCTTACTGGTGACGTAGGTCTTACTGGAACGGCTGACGGCTTGACTTGTCTCTGCTATGCCTCGTGGTCAACTAAAACTCTTGCGGCGGCTTAATTCCTAAGCCCTGGCGATGCTTCGGCGGCGGCTGCGTAGTTCTCCTAATCGGGACTTGTAAAATTCTTACTCAGGTGGTGGTGACGTATTGCTGGCTGGACGGCAGGCTACACTCGGCACGTCTGGTTCCTACGCTGGCAGGCGGACGACTGTCATATGCGGTGTGAGTTTGCAGGCCATCGACTTGGCGCTACGCGGTGACGGACGGCGTTTGCAATGCCAATAATAGTGCCGGTGCGGTAAACTATATTTATTAATATAATTTAATAAAAAGAACACAAATGTGGGGTGTCGGAAAATCACTTCGTTACACCCCCCTCTTACTTCCGCTAAAAAAAATAAAAATGAAATTTTTATTTTTTTTTCAAATAACTCCCTGGCTTACAAGGCGCATACCCCACACAGGTTAGTAAACTTTATTTGGGGATATGTTCACCTTTCACAAAAACAAAAACTAAACTCGGAAAAGGCTTCTATACAAACCAAAATAATTTATCCTCTACAGCTTTCAGTGCTGAACAGTATTTTACCCTAGAAAAGCAAAATCAAAACAAAATCAAACAAAACGGTATTTCTGGTCGGAACGGATTTCGGTTTTTAGGGCAGCAAGTTGCATTGGATGCCCTTGGAAGTGGTTTCGGTACGGCGGAAAATGTCCGGGAAATAACATTGAACTCCTCTGGATGCGGTACGGTGTCCTGGATGTGAGCGGGAACGGTGTCGAGGAACTGCGGATAAACGGCTGCGGCTGGGGCTGGCATGCGGGCGGTTTTCGCATGTACAGTCCTTGGACATTATGCCATATCTCCCACATCGGGAACAAAACAGGCGTCGTGTCCGGGTGTAGGTTTGACGGGAATGGCCAGGATAGCCACATCGCCAACATAACTCCCAACGATCCACTGGTAAGTAAAGTGGACAATCTTTGCGGGTTGGTGGCGAGATTGATTGCGGCTCCTCCCACTTGGCCTGGACTTGGTGGATTATTTCAGAGGTTACTTCTAATGGGTCAGTAACCACGGTAGCTGCTTGGGAAGATATGGGTTGAATACCCAAATCGGATTCTGCCTGCGGGGTTAGTATGACCGGCGTTTCGGTGGGGGAGTTCGTCCACTTCCATTCCATAGGAACGGTGTCGGATGATTCCTTGGCTGGTTGGATCGAGATTTCCTCGGAGAGGTTCCGTGACGGTCCGGGTCGGCCGGAATCTTCCTGCAGCGCATTTTCCAGCGCTAATAAGACTAGGTCTTGGTCGGCCTGGGATACATGTAGTTCGAGATTCGGTGCCTCCATCTGAAAGAAGATTTCGGTCTGGAAAATAAAGAAATATCTTAT